ACATGGCGCAACCTGAAGGCTTCATATCTTCTGTTTTCTTACTATAAATAGAAGGTCTCTACCATTTTTGGATCTAAAGAACCCTTCTTCGGTTTTTCTTCGACTTTTCTTCGGTTTTTGCCAATTCTTCACGGGAAGCTTTGACGAGGGTTTCGACTCGGGTTTTGCATAAGATTTTTCTTTACGTTTAGTTTATGATTTCTCGTGTTCTTCATTTTGATGCTATGTTTGTAATGAACTGAGCATTTTCTTTTAGGAAAATGAGACCTTGTATTTATTGATTTTGATTTCGAGATCTGTGATCTATTTGTCGTTCATTGATTATGTTTATGTTTTCCTGTATTAAATGCTTTCGATTGTTTGGCCAACAGTTGAATTGATTGTAAATGGGAATGAACTCGAGAGAGGATTTCTCGTTTGATTTTAGGATAACATAGCTACGGTTGTGAAAACGGAGACGTGATGTACCTTGGTTAGCCCTTAAGGACTTGGCCTAAATGCTCTCTTAATATCAGGTTCTGAACGGAGACGTCGGACCTGAGGGTAGACTCTAACTACACTGGAGACGGGGGTTAGGGTATTTTAGTGTCTGGGTTATCGCATATAGATTTGACATTAGATTCGAATTTGTAGATCAGTATCGATAGTACACTGGTGGATTTTCCCTAGAAGCCATCACACGTCGGAATTCCTCATTTGTCCTTGCGGACCGTTGTTTTATTTATTGTTTCTTTTTAGCTTCATTTCTCCCATTCTTTTGTCTGTCTAGATAGAGCTTATGATAGTATATTTACGGTACTTGGTAGATTTAGGAACTTAATTCCATGTGAATCGATATATGGAATTCACTATTCGACAAAACGCGATACAGTACACTTGCGGTTATTTATACGTAGGTTTTACGCGTATCAATGACCCTTTCAGACTTTATATCTAGACTCAACCAAGAAATTGACAGAGATGAACTTCAAGATAGCTCTAAAAGGGAAGCTGAGGCAACTGGTGAGCCAAGTGTCGAAATGCATACTCCATCACCTAGTCCAACATTCAATCCTAACACTTAAGCAACAAATAAATAAGATGAGGATAAAGAGGATTCTAAAGAAGAAAATGAAGAGAAGAGGATGCTTTTGGCAAAAATCTGTATTCCCCGTTTGAGTTAAAAAAACTCTTTCAATCTTACCTTTTATTTTGAGGCTAATTCTTTGAGCATAAGACATTTTACCAATCATAGTTTCTTTGAGGAAGCGAGCATTCTGCTAGATGATTTTGATCGTTACAAATCACTTCCTTCTTCAAATGCATAGGTATTTGTGTTCCACTGCCCATTTATGATCCTTCTGTCATCAGAGAGTTTTACTGTAATGTTCAATCTAAATTTTACAAGGAAAACTCTTGTAATTTTGGGAAAGTGTTTGTGAGAAAACTATTTTTTTAGGTTACACCTGTCAAAATAAATGAGCTCTTTGGAACCGAAAATGTCCCCGATGAGGCCATCTTCGATGATTTTTCTGTGATCTACAAAACTCTCACATGCAACACAATTTTATCTTGGCCTTGTCATCCGAAAAAACTCAAAGTTCGTTCTCTCACTTTCCTTCTATTGTGTTCTCTATAGGATCATAGTCTCCAATTGGATTCCTCTCACTAATGAATTTGTGGTCACTAAAGAGCATGTTGTACTTATGTACAAGCTTGACGCATAAATGCGAGTTGATTTTGGCAAACTATTTGGTTCTCACATTTCCAAATATGCACAAAATACATCCAACTTTCCTTTACTCTATCCATAACTCTTCTATAACGTTTTTTCAGACCAATGATTTATTCAAGATCCCTCTGTCCATCTTTTCACTTCGTCTGGTCTTGTTCGAGTCTCTAACAAGTTTTTAGAATCATCTTACTAAGAGACATTCATTGGAATGATGTATCAGTTTTGAAAGTGTTGTTGCAGGTGTCCCAACACCTCTGATGAGTTTGCTACCAACATCTTCATTCCAAGAGGATGTAATTTTCCTCGAGCTCAAACACTCTAAGGAAGCACTCGAGCTTGCTAAGACTCAAGTTGCATAGCATCGACAGATGATTGAAATGTTGGAGTTAACACTTTCTAACCAAAAATGGGGAAATGATTTTCTGGGTGCAAAAATTGAAACTAAAGCTGAAACTTCCAATCCTACAGATCCGCGAAGTAGAGCTATAACAGGAGATGATGAAGACATCTCTGAATTCCTGAGTGAGGATGGTGATGAAAATGATGATGATGGGACATGCTCTAGCAGTGGTTCCGGTGCTGAGATCTAAACTTCTTACTGTTCATTTTACAATATCTTATTGTTTGAGTTTTGAATTTGTGAACAAATTATGTGTAGTGTTTTCTACTACACTTATTTTTGTGGGATGTATTTGTTATTCAACTACTGTTTGGATTTGGTTTTGAACTCCATGAATGTTGAAGTTCTCTTTATCTGTAATTTATGCTTCTTATGACCATTTTTTGCATATTATACCTGATTTGATATTCATGGGGAGTTTGAGGTATTTAATACAGGGGGAGCTCAAAGTCTGTTATACACGGGGAGTTGCTTCAAAATTGGTTTTGATCAAAAAGTCAAAAATGGAGAGTTTGTTGGGTATTTGATTTTATAAGTCAAACATAATTTAATTTATTTTAACTTTCTTTAAACCAATTTTATTTATTTATTTAATCAGTTTATTTGTTAGTAGTTAGTGGACGGTTATTTCTAGCTTAGTGGTTAATTATCTTAAATACCTGATTAATTAATCCACTAACCTACTAACCCACCATCTCTTCTAGTGTGTTTATTCCGTGAAGAACCAGGAGCCCTTGGAGTCTATAACAGGAGAAGTCCTCAGTTCATTTTTCACCGATTCCTGAGGATAGTGAAGAGCAAAGAGCTTTAGGTGTTGGATCACTTTCAACAGTACCTTGTTTTCTTACTGCATAATTGACTCGTGTTTGTATTCATTATTCATGAATACTAGTCCTTAATCCTAGAGTTTTGTTAAGTATAGATTGTCATTGATTCTAGGAAGTTTTGTACGAAAAAATCATCTTGGGATTTCTTCATAAAAGATAAGATTTTACTTCTCTCTTTTGTATTTTTAAATTATGTTTTAATAAAAGTTGTCATCTGTAAATGCATATCCACAAGTTGTAGACTTGTGGATAATGATTTAAATCTTGTTGTTTGAATTCCGTTGCAAAACATTGCTTAAACTCAAGTTTTTTTTCTTATCTTTTGTCTAAATCTCTCATTTGATATTTATTATAATAATTATTATATGAATTCAGAGACATGTAATTCTTTCACTTTTGTTCCATATTATTTATCACTTTACAAGTCCAATGCTGCATTAGTTACATATTTTTCAATTATATATTTATTAACTCTCCAACATTATTTCTACATTAATTAATAAAAAAAGGGTATTTTGGTTTATCAATATCTATTTTCTAAAATCAAGACATATTTATTGAATTCTCTCACAAAAACAATTATAGATAAAAAAAAAAGGGGCTTATTTTATATACACCCCTAGGTACCAAATAAACTAGGGATAAACCCAATCCAAAATCATCATTTGGCATACCACCCTGGAGAGGCGAAAGTACTATACTGCACTTATATGCAATTTTCGGCCAAACTGCATTAAGCCTTTCTGGTCTTGCATTTAGTATTTTCGCTGATTTGTTTATTATTATTTTTCTTTTTTATTTTATTTTTATTTTTTTATTTTTTATTTATTTTTTTTTTTTTTTTATTTTTTTAAATCAATATATTTACTGTACTAAAAATAACTACATGTAATGGTAGTAAACTATTGTCATTCGTAGTTATGTTCTATTTTTTGACCGCATATTTTTAGTCGGTCAATTATGTACACACACGAATACTGACTTATACAAAAGAAATTCATAAATCCAACAAAAAATTACAAATTTCAATATTTATATTATAAATCACTTCATAACCAATAAAATGCAAATCGAAAATACACAAATATATGGATATGTAACCACATGTTACTATATGTAACTAGTAATGTATAGTAATGTATACATCTATTGAACACTGTAACTTGAAACAGATGTAATTTCAACCAAATTTTTTGACACCTTCAATGAGAGGATCAATGGCTTTCATTAAGCTGCAATTGCAAAATCAAAGCAAAAAAAAATTATTTTAGTGCAAATCAACAAAAAATGAAGAAAGATCAAAACACTCAAAAATCAACAAACACTAAGAGAGAGAGAGAGAGAGAGAGAGAGAGAGAGAGAGAGAGAGAGAGAGAGAGAGACCATAGCTGCGACATGCTACGAATTTTAGACCAATCCGCCAATAACTTCTCACCCCAAGCGCCTCCTACCAAAACCTTAGCCGCCGCTAACCACCCAAGGTTCTACGCTCACAAATGAAAATAAATATAGAAATAAATATGAAAATAAAAAATGAACCAAATTGCCATCAAAATATAGATCTCAACGTGAGGAATCCAACGATGTGTAGTCTGTCAAATTCCGACTGCCGGAACACAAATTACACCTCCGGCAAGACCCACCGTCGTCGAAATACGCGGCGACTGTAAAACGATTGCAGAAACAGATCGAGTGCTACTGAATGAAATCACTACCAAAAGAAAGAGCTCGACGAGAGGAATTCAACGATAGTTAAACCATTGAATTCCGACCATCAGAGCAAGAGTTATGACTTCGGAAAGCAACTTCGCCGGTTGGAGATCTATCGCGAACAAGATTTGAATCTGAGAGTTGAGAGAGGAAGAGAGAAACGACTGTGAATGGCTAATGTTTAAAACTGATTTTTAAAGGGCATTTTATGTACATCAAAGTGAGCGACGAGGGTCTGTCAAATTAATTTAAAAAATATGAAGAGGTATGCAGTAATTAGCTTGGTGATTAGTTATATACAATTTACATAGGATGTCCAAAAAAACAAAATTATAGAAAAAGAAACCCAAAGAAAAAAAAACTCGAGCTAGCGGTATGTTTGGCGATAAAGAAAAGAACCCCTCTCTCATTTGTGATTTTGTGTCGGTTTATAATTGAAACCAGTCTTCATTTTGTCAGGAATTTGGGTTTTCGCTTCTCCCCGCAATAGCATAAATAAAAAAAGAAGCGATCAATGGAGAAGGAGAAGAAGGAGAAGAAAGAGAAGGCAGAAACGGTGCCGAAAAACGACGGCATGTGGCTTTTGAAATCCATTTTCTCTAAGAAGAGCAATACCGATGGGGATGCTGATTCCAATGTCAAAAGCTCGCCTGACCAGAATCCCCCATTTCCCTTCCTCTCTGCTCACGCTAACGCTGTCGTCTCTCTTTGCTCCAAGTAATTCATTTCAACTGCATATCTGATTTTTGAGAATTAGGGTTTTCAATCTTGTGAGATAATTGCCCTTTTGATTTATTTTAGTTTGCAGTTAACTATATGTCATTTGCAATAAGATCTCTAGATCATCGTGCTTGTTGATTTGTTACGCAATAGAGTTGGATTGTGGTTTCACTATGGGGAAAGTGATGTGACTTACGGAGCCGGAAAATGTTTAGTGTTGCACATTTTTCCCCCTATTTTTAGGGGGAAATGTTTAGTTGAACATGTGAATGAGTGTAGTTGTTCAATCAGGGGTTTCTAAAAATGCTCGGAAACTGTTCGTGATTATTATGTAACTATAAAGTTTTGGAAAGTGTGCCAAGATGCAGTTCACACGGAAACATAGAGAAGTATTCTGCTTGATTAGCTAATTAGTGTGCTAGTTTAGAGTGGGGACGGGGTTTGTGTTTAATCTCGTTATCGCATTAAACTTTTAAACATGCTTTACATCTTTGACATCATGTACATATTGCGTATCTATGTCTCATGAAAAGAAATAAATACATTTAAGATTCTCTCGGTTTTATTATTTTTGCTATATTAAGCTCGCTTATGTAGTAATGAGCATGTGGAACCATCTATAATATTGGCGCACTTTGTCTTCTTGACATTACACTTCTTTAGGTCAGTAATTTAATACATGATAATAGTATGCTCCTGTATCTTTTAACTGGTTTGATATGTTTCCAAATTTTCTTGCAAAGCCGCATCATCCCTTTGAACGGTTATTTTGTTGAGGCGGCATGAGTTTTTGTTGCTTTGTTCACTAAATTACAAAATGGCCGTGGCTCCTTCGTGCGGAGACACATTTTCAAAACCTTTATGCTTCTTTTTTTGTAGGACCCTTGGCATATCGACCAATGCGTTACAAGAACAATTCGATTTGGAGTTACCTGATAATCTGAAGCAACCTGATTCCCATGCTAGGAACTTCCTGGAATTCTGCTCGTATAAAGCATTGGGTCTGGCCATCACACAACCTAATTATTTGAATGACAAAGAATTTCGCCGTCTAACATTTGACATGATGATTGCATGGGAGGTTCCTGGTGTTGCTAGTGACCAGATAGATAAAGTAAGATGGAACAGTATGCTTTAGAATGTTCTAATAAATGTACATGAGAAAAAAGATATCATCCGATAATAACAGTATGCCTTAGCATTTTCAAAAGAGTGTGGAGTTGTGGCTCAAACTTTTGCCTTTTTTCACTTCACTTAAATATTTTCCTTAAGCTCGAGATATCTTGAATGTTATGCAATTGCAGGAAACTGCTTCTTGCAGCAGTCAGGATGTGGAGGGTGAGGATGGTTGGTCACTTTTTTATTCCAACTCGACCAAAATGGCTGTTGAGGTTGTTTTATCATATGACTATTATCGTTACTTTGAAATATGAACTAAAGAACTCTAGAGACCGTACTTGTCTAGAATTATGTACTTTAAAACTTCTTACGGTCATATGCGAAGTTTCATTTATGCCTGTTTTTTATCTTGTTGATTACACAAAGGTCGATGACAAGAAAACTGTTGGGCCAGAGGCATTTGCTCGCATAGCTCCTGCTTGTCCAGTTATTGCTGATATAACCACAGTACACAATCTTTTCGATGTTCTGACAAGTTCTTCAGGTCCCCGACTTCATTTCCTAGTATACGACAAGTACCTTCGGAGTCTTGAAAAGTATGCATCACATCCTTCAGTTAATTTCTTATGTAAATATATTTTTGCTGTGGTATTCGTGCAAGGCCGATCACAATCGGTTGGTTTCGCCTGTTACCTCTTGAGTATTTATCTATTTTCTACAAAGAGGAATTCAGAGTATTTTTTCAATGCATGAGTTGAACTTAGTTGTTTGTTTTCTTCTGTTTATTCATGGAGAATCCCTCTTACTTGCCTTTACAATTGAGTCTACTGAGGACTTTCAGCTACCAAAATAATGACTGAAAGACATTTGTTTTTATCATTTCTCTGTTAGGATAATAATTGCTGCAATTCAGCTTAAGCAGAAGAGCATCATAAATCATAATATTTTCTCTATACGTTGTTGGAGTTTCTGGATATTTACTTTATGGTAGATGTGTGGTCGCCTATGGGTTTTAATGGGTTTAAGGGCTACAAATTAATATTAGCCTGAAAATTAAAGATGAAAATAGTTATATGGTCCGCTACTTTTAAAAATCATTGACCCATATACTTCTGTGTAGGATTATAAAATTTGTGCAAAATGCAGTGGGACCACAAGTCATTTCCAATCTTTCACTTGCTGAGGATGAAATTATTATCGATATAGATGGCACAGTTCCCACGCAACCAGTTTTGCAGCATATTGGGATGTCTGCATGGCCAGGTAACCTGTGCTTTCCCTTTGGAAGCTGATTTGATATTTCAAAACTTGTAACACCCCTTCTCATACAGCATAATTTTTTTCGAAATCTTTCGAATGGACTCATGAAAGAAGAGGATCGTCATTGCAATTCTGTTTTTCGATTCTTTCTGTAATAGCATTGCATCGGAGTACGACTTCTTATCATTCTTTTGCCAACAATGAATCTGAAACATGAATATAATTGCTGCATGTTGAATCAATCTTTAAATCGTCTTTAAAAAGTGCAATAATATAATAACTGGATAGTATTTGAGAACTTATACTATGTTATGCGTTCTGGTACAAATATTTGTTTTAGTCTAATTTCTCTCTGTTTTAATTACTGTCTTGCAACTATCTTACAGTATTTCCTGTTTTGGTTTGGCTTACCATTTCAGGGCGGTTGACATTGACAAACCATGCTCTTTACTTTGAGTCTGGCGTTGGGTTATACGACAAAGCTGTGAGATATGATTTGGCAAAAGAAATGAAACAAGTTATAAAGCCTGAATTAACTGGGCCGTTGGGTGCTCGTCTCTTTGATAAAGCCGTGATGTACAAGTCAACATCTATGTATGTTTTCTACCACATTTGAATTTTTTTAATTCTAAAATATGTGATTATCTCTTGACTCTAGTCCTTGTATAGAGCAGAGCCCGTCTATTTGGAATTTCCTGAATTTAAAGGTTCATCAAGGAGGGACTATTGGTTGGATATCTGTCTAGAGATTCACCGAGCTCACAAATTCACCAGGAAGTATAATATGAAAGGAAACCAGTTATCGGAAGCACTTGCTCGGGCAATTCTTGGAATATTTCGGTTCCGTGCAGTTAGAGAAGCTTTCCGTGTCTCCTCATCTAATTATAAAACTCTGCTGTGTTTTAACTTGGCTGAGAGCCTTCCTGGGGGAGATATGATAATGCAAACCCTCTCCAGTCGACTGACACTCATAAGTCCCACTGCTGGACAACAGGAGATTCTAAGCTCTCCCAATGCAAATAGAAAACACGTATTGCCAGCTGCACTGATGACACTTATTACACTCAAAATTGTTCCATCCAAAGAGGGAGAACTGAACGGTGAAGCAACATATCAGGGTGTGGATGTTTGTGTCGGTGAATCGAATCCCTTAGAAGCTGTGGTGAAGCAGTTGAAACTGGATACTGGAATGGCTGAAGCAGCTCAAGCAACTGTTGATCAAGTGAAAGTGGAAGGAATTGATACCAATTTAGCTGTGATGAAGGTTACTTGGTTATATGCTTTTATCATTTGGGTGTTCCTGTTTTTTTTTTCTTTTTCTTTATCCATATTTCAGGATATAAGTGACTACTTCTATCCTCCAACTGATAGATATAGGATTTGATGTGAATGAGACTGATATATCTAATACCGAACGGCATAACACATGAGAAAACCATTCCTCATTAGGAGAGTTGGTACGGTAACTGGACTTGACTATTAAGGTCAAGGGTATTCAAATCCTGCATGTTACAAGGGTATTCAAGGGTATTCTTAGAAGCCCATTTCTAACAGGATTTCAATTAAAAAAATGCATACTACAGGAAACCTTTGAGTCGTTATTGGATCAGAATTTCCCCCTTGTTACACATAGAATGCTGATCAGTTTGTTCTTGGATGATTTACTCTCTTAGACCAAAATGTAGTTATGCATTTTACTGTTTATGTGTACATTTACTTTGTACCTATATGATCCAGATAAACTTTTACAATTCTTTGCAAAACTCAAGATCATATTTCCATGCTACTTACAAGTCCCACCAATAGCTAGAATTTTTTTATGCTACACGATTTGTTTCAAAGTGTTCATCTCAATTGTCAAAATCTTTGTTAATTTTTAAGATGGCTAGTTTCAGTTTTCCTTTTTTTTGATAAGTTAACCTTGTTTGTCTGCAGGAGTTGCTTTTCCCTCTTATCGAGACATATAACCGGCTGCAACGTTTGATTTCATGGGATGATCCCTTCAAATCAACCATGTTTGTGTTATTTACCAGCTACTTGATATATACGTAAGAAAATGTCGTTAACTTATTTTTCTTAGCTGCACCATAATTGTTATCCATATTTTTGTGGCATGTGAGCCATTACTTATTTAATAGATAACCAATAGAACTATGCATAATTGAATTTGAAAGTTCTATATTTAGGCTGACTGTCAATTTACTTATGATTTTGTCTTCATATTTGGTTAACTCACTCTAGAAGTTTTGGATGAAACATAATAATAGATATAGTCATCTTTTGGTATGTTAATTAAGAACATGGAAACGAGATTGAAGTATAGGGACATAATCTGTAATATACATTTTACAACCGTGGACATTTCCTGGTACCTCATCCTAATACTTGAGATAGTGAAGGTAATGTAATTTCCATGCTCTTGGAAGCTGGTTAATTACTTTTGGATCAGCCAAACTTGTTAAATGATGGTAATATTTAAAATGAACACTTCCATTCACTTCGGAAATTGTCTTTAGAAATCTAGACTTGAATATCCTTGACAGTAAAGTTTATGATTAGTTTTAATGAGAATCACGTGCTAATGGGGTCATCAATGTGGACTTATGTCATGTTTAGCGGCACCTCCAACTCTTGACCAAACCTCTACATTGAAAGCATAAATGATTGGTGAGTGATGCAGTTTCTGAGGTCTATTTATATGGAAGTCGTGAACATCTTTTCTGAACCAGTGTGACAAGATGAGGTGTCATGGTCATTCCTGCATTATGCAATGCCTTGGGTACCAAGTCATACATGTTTTTTCATGTGCATGCATTCTTGATATGGCATATAAGGTACACGGGTTGCACTCCTACTTTATAAATAATTTTTACATTTGGACACACCCTCTTAGTTTCCTACAACTTGAAGGAATATAAGCTACATTTTGACTTGCTCAAGAAATTCTAATGAAATTGCAGAACAGCAACTTGAACCTATTAACTTGGTATTCATTTATTTATTTATTTATTTTTCAAACACGAACGTTAGTTCCACAGAGCTGTCTGAATAAATTATAATCTTTAAGCTTTGCCATGATTGTTTTCACAGTTTCGTTTGGTAGTAACGTTTTCTTTGTAAGATGACACTCAATGATATCATTTTCAAGAAGTGTTATTAGGCACTGGGTGCATTTCTTCTCCTCAAAATGACTGCATGCTTTCATTCTAAAACCAAACATGTCGTACCATTTTCCTCTCAGAGCACTTTTCCTCTTTCCAACCTATTTATAAATGTATGTGTTTGTGTGTGTTCGGTTTGACCCATCTCTACTCTTATTGATGATCAATGTATCCCCATATACTCTCAGTTGTCCCACTTTACCACTTATACGCTTTTCGTGTCTCACTTTACTTTACTCCTTGTAGTCCCCTTGTCTCATTTTACTACTTGTAGTCTCATGGTCTCACTTTACCCATGTGCTTTCTAAAAACACAACCAAATTGTCTTTACTAGTAGCTTTGTTTTTTTAAATATTCTGAAATTAATACACCTCTTATGCGTATTTAATTATTTTTTGAACTTAATTACTCAAAACAAAACATTAGATTCACGTGCAATTTTCATACACTTAAATTTAATTGTTAATTATGTAATTGAAATAGTTCCTATGAAATTTCTATGGTGTAAGATATTAATTACCTAATACATGTTACTTGTAGATTTTCGACTGTCATAAATCTAAAAATTTGTAGTGTAAATATTTTGTTGAAAACAAAAAAGGTCATTTTAGATTCAATATAATATTATGACATTATTCGTTCCAGCTCTAAAAATTACTCATTTTTACGCAGTATCTAAAAACAGTTCCATAATGAGTTTCAGGGATTGGATCAAGTACGCGTTACCGTCCATTTTCGTGTTTTTGGCACTGGTCATGCTCTGGCGCAGGTATACATGGAATAAAAGGCAACTCGGAGCATTCAAAATTGTAGCTCCCCCTAGTAAGAATGCAGTGGAGCAGCTGTTAACATTACAAGAAGCTATAACTCAAGCTGAATCTCTCATCCAAAGTGGCAACATTATTCTTCTGAAAACACGAGCACTTCTGTATGCTGTTGCACCACAGGTACTGTTTGTCATTCTAAGTTCTACATTATGTGTTGCTTAATTATAAATGTATATGAAACTATTTTCTCAAGGATGATTTTGGATTCCCCTTTGTTGAAACTAGAGTTGACCGTTGCAACGCCCACTGGCAGTTTGTCTTTTTTGTTTACAATGAGATAAGAAATTGCAGATAACAACGATTCGAAACACATAAATGAAAGAGATTCTCTTTTGAAGTAGGACATAAGGTATAAAAGGAATTAGTGTTCAGGTTTCTTTATTACTTTCAAAGTCAAACTGCAAAAAATAATCATGATGTTCAATCTATTTTACCAAACTATCCCTTCAAATTCTGTTACATGTACCTTATTATTTGTCGTTAATTTCAAAATTTTCACCCGAGGGCGAGGTGTATTTGTAAATTGGAATCTCAATGCGGTATTTGTAATTTTTAAATTTAGAGAGATGGTTCCTGTGAGCTGACAACAAACCTCATGAATAGTTTTTTTGTTATTAACCCAAACCAAACTTTCTAATCAACATTTTTTTTAATCAACGTTAGCAAATAGATTTTCCTAGTTTCTCGTACTGATTCTTTCTTTGGTGTATAAAAAGGTTCTTCTGAGAGAAAAGTTTGTGTTGCATTGTGTAGATTTCATCAATTTACTTAATTGTCCCTGCTCTAGTTTCCCGAAACCATAATGATGTCCTGTCTGATGAGACCCTCTTTTATCGATGCACACATGGTACATTATATCAACTTTATATGGAGTCATTTGAAATCTTATCCCAAATCCTGTCATCAAATCCAAATCCTTCAGTCCGTATTCACATTTAAGAATTTGAAACAATTTGTAATATCAATTCATTGATTAAGCTGAATGGATTTGAAATCCTTGGGTTCAAATCGTTCAATCCAAAATAATAGGATGCTGTGTGTCCGAAAATAGCGATCTGTTTACATGGGAGAGAGATCTATTTTGACTTACTAATCATATTTAAAGTGTTTAAGATTCATTTAATGTATTCTGCTGCAATATAGCATAACGAGTTTCCTATTTTAAATTTCAGGCGACAGTGAAGCTGAGTATTGTGTTGGTTTTAACGGGAACAGTAATTGCTGTTTTGCCCCTGAAGTATCTAATGTTATTAGTGTTTGTGGAGAGTTTTACAATGAACATGCCCTTGAGAAAAGAAACCAGTGAAAGAGGGCTGCGACGAATAAGAGAATGGTGGGTCAGAATACCGGCAGCTCCTGTTGAGCTTGTAAAGCCTGATGACAAGAAACGGAAATGACTCCAAAACATAGGAAAAAAAAGGAGAGAATATTGTACTCGCAAATCTGCACGCATCTCAAACACTGTCTGTGATTTGTTTTTTTTATGTAAATATCACATTTCTTAGCTCTCTTTATGTTCTTCTTGTTATGACTGGAAATTGATCATACATACAACGGCACTATATCGTTACTTTCGTGGCGGGTTTCATATGTACGCACGTGCCGATGAAAGAAGCCTCTTTGAGTGGTTTTATTATAAGTTTGTTCTTGCTTATTCATCTTACTTCGGCATGTTTATTTGACCCCGGAGGCAAGAATGCATAAAGTTAAAACTCTTTTCCTGGAAATATCATTGTTTAGTACAATGACATAATTCCATTTTTTTTTCTTTTCTTCTTAACTATGATTTTCGAGGGCAAACCTATGAAGGGTGAAAGTGCCGTAGTTTCTTAATTTTCTTTCATGTGTGGTCCATTATAACCCTCAAATACTAAATGAATATATATTAAGCATTTAACTCTAACTGAGTAACTACAACGTTAAACAAATGAATATCTTTAATCATTTTTATTGCTCTGTTGAATGACTAAAAAATAAAGGGTAAATTTGAGCTAGGTTCATAGAATGAAATTTTACTATAAATTAAGGGACAACATTAGTGCCGGACGTGCCATTTATACAAAAAAACGGACATTAGTGCCGGACGTGCCATTTATACAAAAAAACGGACGCTAATCACAGTATGACACATGGAAAAATTTAATGAATATGAGCATTATTATACTATTTATTTTGTGGGTCCCATCCCATTATAACTAATAAATCTCCTTAACTGGAGTTAACACACCACAAATGTGTGGATCTCTTACACTAACAATGGCGCCAATTATTTTTCTTTTCTTTCTTTTTCTTTATTATTATTTTTTTTTTTAAATTTATGAATCCCATTACGTTGGTTTACTGCTATCATTTGTTTTCTCTTATTTAATGCTTTCTTTTGCTTCTTTATATATATCCTTTATTTTTATTAAATAAAATTTATACAGGAGGTTTTATTTGAAAATTTATTGGTATTTTTCTTTCATACGTTCTTTTACAGTGACCTTCTAGCAATGCGCACAATGTGTTTGTTGGAAGTTCTGAGTCGGCCATGGGTTAAGAAACAAAGACATTGTGGGTCAATCTCGTAAGAAACAATCCGTTTGAATCTAAATGAATGAAGCTCGAACTTTCAATGAGGACGAGGTTTAAAAAATTCTTGAACTCTTAGAAGTTCGAGTGAAAATGTTATTTATAATTTTTCATGACGATTTTGTTTGCAGAAGATAATATCAAAATTAAAAAGGACAAACCTTGAAGGACAACGAACAATCACTAGAATAATCCATAATTCATTTTCATTGGGGCTTTAGTGAACAATAAAAATTGTCATCCATAAGTCAAAACTAAATAATAAAAAGAAAATGCTTTTTACGGTTTAATAATTGCTATTTACCGTTCAAAGTAAAAAACAGTTTATCTCTCTAAAACCCCTAAAATTCTAAATTCTCTCCAAAACCACCCCATTCCAAAATTTGCAGAATTTTTTTTTTTTTTCGAAAAATATCGAAATCAACCAATTTCTTGCTTGGGCTTCGATTTTTTAACGGCGAATTATAAACG